ATAATTGAATAGCCATTTTACAAAAGAAGATATCTAAATTGGTAACAAACTTACAAATTAATGTAAAATTAGGCTTGCCAAATTAAAATCACAATTTAATATTAACGATTATCCATCAGAATGTACTTTTAAGATAAATCGGTAATGCTCAGTGTTGGTGCGGATGTGAAGCAACAGCCACTCTTACATACTGTTAACAGGAATGGAACCAGATACAGAGCTATGAAAAATTGTTTGGGGATTTATATCTACTAAAGCTAAAAGACATGTATTCTATGACCCAGCAATCCATCTAAACGTATACCCACAGAAATTCATGTCTGAGGGCACCAAAAAACATCCACACGAATACACAAAGCAATACTATTTTTAGTAGCCAGAGGCTGGAAGCAACACAAATGTCTATGGAACAAACTACCAGTACACGCAGCAATGTGGATGTAAGTTATAATGCTGAATGAAAGAAAAATGGAAAATATTATATGACCCCATGTGACCTTCTGTCTGAAGAGGGGACATTCTTAGGGAGGGGCAATAAGACTATAGCTTTTGGGTAGCAGCGAATACTCCAGGGGTGGTGCCTAATGGTGGTCACGTGGGTGTGTTCCCTCTGAAAACTCCATCAAACTGTACACTAATGGTAGCTATCCGAGTTGCCCTTCAAATTACAAAGTTTACCAAAACAACAAAAAGAGCAAAATCCCTGGACCAGAGGACCTGTATAAATTCGACTGAGACTCGGCATTTAGGTTTTGCGGGTTGCTTTCTGTCTTGTAGTTTATATCTTGCAGTTCTGGTGCTGTCTCCATTTATGGTTTCCATTGCTTCTGTTTGTGGACATGGTTCTATCACCTTATTCTATTCTATTCCATTCTATTCTTTCTTCTATCTTCCTTTGCTGTTAATCTACACTTGATATATGCACCCTGACCTTTCCCCTCGTTTTGTCCTTAGAGCTGATTTATCACTCTCAGCTTCTGTTTCAGTATTTCTCCAATAGTGCCCCGTATCAGATTAGTTCTATTTCTTCTATAAATTTTGTTAATGGCCTTGTTCTAACCAAACCACTTAAGTTTTCACTTCTTCCTTATTTATTTTTTCCTGTTTTTGTCTAATGATTTTTATGTTCTGGTTACCAATAATTTCATAATTGCTATTAGATTATTTGCTTAGACACCTTCTTTTTCCCCTCTCAAACCCACAAGTTTAAAAACAAACAGCTTTCTTCTCTACTGTTCTGTCTGACGGGGTGGGGCTGTGGCTTGTGGAGTAGAAGTTCTTTCTTGCTCTTCACCTTCCAGCTTCAGCAATAAAGAGCCAGGTGATCTGACATGTGATAGGAAAGGGGAAAAAAGAAACTTCAAAAATGATAATGAAAACAAGTGCTTCCCCCTTGTCCAAAGTGGTTTAACAGATTACTTTTCTTACAGATTTAGCTAAGAAGCTGTCTGACCTGAGTCCATTTATGGAACTATTTGGTCTTGCTTTCACTTTTTCTTCTTGGAAATAAATCCTCTAGTCCTCAATCAGAGACACTGAAGAAAGCAGGGAGTTTGTAGTTTTTAAATCCACATGAAGATTTTGGCCAGGAACTTTTCAAACACTGGAATAAATTTTTAATTCGGACTTTGATATCCAGATAAGCCCAGCTCATGTTCTCTTGAGTCTCCTTCCCAAAGACCAGACTTCAAACAGATGCTGCTAGCTGTTTGCAGAAGCAGCAGAAAAGCAGCAGAAAAGCAGCATGGCAGCCTGGACAGCCACAGTCAACAGAAAGCACTGCCCATTGTGCCCATCTGGGCAGGGACCCGGGATGCCAGTTTCTTCCTAGAAACCAGCACATCCTGTTCTGTGGACCTGAAGCAAAGTTCCTCAGAGGAGCACGGATGTGTGTACATACACTACCAGGGCAGGGAATTCTGAGGACATTGCATTCCAGCTGGGACCTTGCCTGGAGCATTCGCAACAGCGTGGGGTTAGAATCTTGAAAGGAAAAAGGCAAATATGTGTGATTTTGTCTGGCTTTATTATTTACATCTTACTCTTCCCATGTTTGACTTTGTCTTTTAGAGTGTGGACTGTGGAAGAAATAGATGTGTTTCTTACAGATGAGACCCCACAGAACTTTTGGTTTAACTTCTTGAAACTTGACAGACAACACAGAGAATGGGAAGGAGAAAAAAAGTAACTGATTTCCTGTGACTACAGAAGCAGCTGGTTTCCTTTTGGAGACTTGGAAGGGAGACTAATAAGTAATTGAAACTTAATACCCAGAGTCCCTCAGAAAAGTGACCACCCTGGGGCTGTTACCGTCATTTCCTGTTAATTGTCACCTGAAATAACCAGTTGTAGAAATGGCACTGGGGCCTGAAGCAAAGGAATGTAGTTTGGGGACCGTCTCGCCCACCGTGTTCCATAATGACATACACATGATTTAACAGCAGCACTGACAAGGTTCTCAGAGTAAATCATTTCCACTCTCACCACTTCAAATCACTTAATGTAATTGCCCTGAGACAGATTGGGGGAGCTGGCTATTGGTTACCCAAGCTCTGGGCCAACCCTCTCCCTCACTTTAAATTGCAGTTCTCACCTAATTTACTTCTCTTCCCTAGGGCTGATGGGCAAGCACTCTCCATATCCCAGAGAAATCTAGAAGTCAAAGGTGGTCAGAATAATTGTGAAGTCTTTCCAAGAATCCTCTACCTCTGTGTTGACTCTTGCAAGCCTGAGTGCTCACATGTGCTGCTTTTGCTAGACTAGTTTTTCTACCAAATCAAGTCCATGGACAGATCTGCAATAGTTTATGCTTTGTCCTCCCAAAATTCACATTGAAACTTTATTTCCAATGCAGTAGATTAGGAGGTAGGACCTTTTGGAGATGATTAGCCCTCATGAATGGAATTAGAGCCCTTATAGAAAGGGCTTGAAGGAGTGAGCTCGCTCCTCCCATTCCTCCTGTCCCTTCCACAATATGAACACATTGAACCTGCTGCCTCCTTGATCTTGAACTTTCCATCCTCTAGAACTGTTAGAAATGAGTTTCTTTTGCTTGTAAATGATCTGGTCTAAGGTATACTCTTATAGCAACCTGAATGGACACAGACAAGACCCAGTCATGCCCTTCTGTGTATTTCCCCCAGTTTCTCCCAATTTTTGTCTCCTCCCATTGCAATGTATAAGGTTTGGGGTCTCTCTTACTTTTGTAAAGACATGAAGTTCCTCCGTGCACTTGACCAGTTGAGAATTATGAACCTCTATAAACTATGCTTCTCATTTGATTAATCACATTATCCTCTTGGCCTCCCCAGCACTTTGGCCATGTCTGTGTATTGGTTTGTCCTACGAGCTGAGGACATCTGGGAAAAGGGATCCTGTGTCTTCCTTCTTTGTGTCCCACCATCTGACAGAGCATGCATGGAACAAGACTTGAACAAGTAAGGGAGGGGAAAGCTGAAGAGGAAGAAGTCTTGACCTGGTGGTTCAGCTCTCTGCATCTGCTCGCAAACTGATTAAAATGCACAGGAACAGAACTTCCATGGAAGCTTCCTAGGAAGGCTTTATTTCAAGGTGGAAGATCTGATAGAAATGCCACTACAATATTGGTAGGAAGGGTGGCCCCAAGACCTGCCAAGATTGTGTCTTTTCTTTATTTGATACTGAGAGCTTAGCTCTGGCCCTCAATGCCCTATACCAGGTGGCCCTTCTGAACAGATTCCAGGCTCCCCTGAGCCCACTCTCTAAACTCTATGGTGGCCAAGCCATCATTCCCCTGCCACTCCCAGCATCCCTGGCCTTCAACATTGCTGGTGGCCCCAGGCAACTCTCCAGGCTTCCAGAGGATTCTCAGACCAATCCTCTTATCACACCTTCCTTACTCCTATGCTGGGTCTTCTAATGCTTCTCTGTCAACAAGTATTCATCTGTTATCTTACACTATAGTTAAAGTATTAACCTTCCTGAGGGATGACATCCATACTTCACATTTCGCCTTGCTTGGGTGCCCCACCTGAACCACATCTTCCCCTTCCTGTCCTCTGCATCCATTCCCTCTGTCAGCACGTTGCTAGAGAACCTCGGCAGGTGCTAAGCAGAGCTGAGATTCAAATCCAGATCTAAGCAACAGCATACTGCCCCCGGCTGTGGACAGGGTGGCGTTCTCTACCCCATCTTGCATCCTCTTCCTTCTTAGTGAAGAGAGAGCTGGCCTTGGCCAACACAGGAGGAATCTTGCCAGGTGGGCTTCATCCACCACAGTCCCTGTCTTTGATAGTTTCCATGCACCACCCCTGAAACAAAATCCCGGTGTGGGCCCCAGAGATGCCTTTCTTGGAGTCTAAGACAGACAGCAGCCTGGACTCAAAAGGGACCTGAGCCTGGGAAGGAGAGAGAAGAGCACTCTTCCCTCCCTGTCCAGGGCTCTCTTGCGTACTAAAGGGACAACCTCTTTTGTGTTGGTCCCTTTGCTGAGAAAGGGAAGGGAGGAAGCAAGTAAGGGAGATGGAGAGGGTGGTGAGGAGAGGGGCCCATAGGCCAGAACATGTGTCACCCCCCAGGGCCACCGCACAGTGACTGGCCCGAGGGGTCAGTGTCCTATCTTCTCTTCCTCTGTAGTTGTCAGTCTAATCCATGGAGAAAGAATCTTTGGATGTGGGCCTGAAGCTTTGAGTTCACTCATAGCGGGTGACAAAAACGAGATGGTTATTTGTTTTATGGTAATAATCTCCACGAGGCTCCAAGCTCCAGGGCTGCGGTCGGCACGCCACACGGCAGGCCTTCCTCTGGGTGCGAGAGGATTTCCCTGGTTTGGTGGGATTCATTTGTTTTTTAAGTGAGGCTGTTTATTTTCTCTTCTTTTAATGTTATGATTTTTTTTCAGACTCACAAGGAGGATACATAATGTACAGCCGAACCTGCAATCTCCTATTTTGTCAGCTGCTTGTGTTGATTAAAACTTCAATACAGATCCTGTGATAAAACAGAGCTGTGTTCAAAGGATCTTGTTATGTTTTTAAAGGGCTGAGCTTGGCAGAAAAGATGTAGAGTATAGCTTCGGTACCTTGATATTTCCCCCGCTTTTCCAGGTTAGAAAGGAAGCAAACTGGGGGAGAAATGTACAGGGGTGACTGGTGGGATGGTTGGAGGGCACATGTTTAACTCAATCCCAAATAATAAGAAAGGTCCAGTTGAAAGGATATGAAAATTGTTTATCAAACTGGTGTTAAATGCGTGACCAATTGCCCTCTCCTCCCATAGGTCTGACTGACAAACTCTCTCTGCAAGAGGTCTCAGCCTGACAAAGAGGGCGAGAAAGGCAAGCCACAGGCACAGTGAGCTCATAGAACTCCAGGAATTCCAGACCCAGTTATTACTCAGCTCACTCAAGATGACCATTCCAGCACGACTCCACTGAACTGCCAGAAACACATAGTTTTAAAGACCAAAGGATCACTCACAGATCTCAGGGGAGAGGTGTCAGTGGTGCCACCTACTCCCCACCGTCCCATTCCCTCCTTTCCAGACAGTCCATTTCTGGCAGCTGCTGAAGTCTCTCAACTCTTATTCTGAAAGAGGCTGAGAAATGGATGTGCGTGAAAATCAGGCCAGCCAAAGTCGCTGACTTTATGCAAAACAGGCAAGTACAGTCAAAACACTTACAGCAATCAATTCGAGTTGTTGGGTAAAGTTTTTTCCATGTCCCATACATTATTGAACAGTTAATTTCGTCTTTGTGCCTGCTAGACATTCCAGCTTTCAGATGACAGCTTTATCCATTAAGGAGCGCACGGTGACAGCCGTACTGCGAGAGCCGTGCCAGCCTGGCCTGCTGGGAGGCGCGCCTGCAGCACCACCGAGAAATCCTGGGACACATCAACATCTTAATCAATATGCGAGAGTCAATTACCCGGGAAGTGAGGGCTTAAGCAGGAGCTGATGATGAGGTTCACGTGCAAATGGGCTTGATCAATACGCAGCTGAATCTCACACGTGGACTCATATCAGTCCTCCCAGGGCACCCACCCCCCCACTGACAGGCCACCCATGCCTTCTCCCAGCTCTTTTCCAACTTGCCAATCACCTGTGCTACTGAAGCTTCTTGGATTCATTTCCTTGATGGATGTACTGGGAACAGAGAAGCAGGGTTGAGGGAAACAACCACAGCCCGATGACGGTGCCGTGGAGAGGTCTCAAAAGAGCCTGGATGGGCTCGCTCAAAGACCAAGAGAAAAGTTTCTGCAAAGATGCCTTCTCTCCACATTTGTGCTCCTTTGATCACATTTGAAAAGGAAAACCAATTCAGCTTCTCAGGGAACCATATTCCTGTTTTTATAGATGAGAAAACTGAGACTTAAGAAGGCTGAGCACCAAAGGTTGCACAGATAGGTGGATGCAAAGCTGGCACTTGTACCACAGTCTTTAGATGCCAGTGAGTCAGATAGGTAAGGCTTAGAGGACTGCAAAAATACGAGAGCCACGAATAACAAAGCAAAAGGGAAAACAATGTTTTCTGGTTTGTAGCTGGGATTTCAAATTGGACCTTGGAGAGTGGGGAATGATTGGACAGGGGCACGGAGAGAAGGTAATTCTCTGAGGGAGAGAACCTGTGTGTCTAATGCGTAGTGTGGGGCCATGTAAACAGCAAGTGGGGAGGAGAGGAGGCAGGGCAATGCTGCTGGAGTCAAGCTGATAACTGTGTTTGGAACACTATGGGCAGGATGAGAGATCTGAACTTTATCTTCTGGGGAAGCCTTTTCTAAACAAAGCTGCTACAGGACACTCGCGCTCTAAGATGCTTTGCAAAATAGAAGGCCTCAGGATTAAGGAATCCTGGTTGGTACCAAGTCATTCCCTCAGAAAGGCACATTGCACCCTAGGACATTGTCACGCTTTGAGAAGAACCACAAAAGACAGGTCTCTAAGGTCCTATAACCCAGTACACACCCATGAACACCCTTGAGATCTTCCTCAGGGAAGCCTCCCTGAACAGCTAACTAGATGAGATTATCTCACCTTTCAGGGGCTTCCATAAGTGTTCTGAACTTTCCTTCAAAACATTCATTAGTTGCAACTTCTATTCAATGTCTTCTTTGTTATGAAACTGAAATTGCCATTGGTCTATCTTGTCCCCTTCCTGCACAGAGCAGATTTTCACCCCTTCAAAAGGGTGTGTGTGTGTGTGGGGGGAGATACTCCTAGAACACAGTTTGCATAAGTCCTGGAGAACCACTGGAGGTCAGCTCTTTTCAATATGGTAACACTACATCTTAACAAGATGAGGTCTTGATGAAGCCAGAGAAATGGTGATGCCAGGGAAATCAGTCCAGGAAAAAGGAGGGGAGGTATGAGGTGGACTGCAGGCCGACCAGGGCTGACAACTTCAAGAGACATTTCTTAGAAAGAATTGATGAGAGTCAGAGTATACCTGATTGGCACCGAGTGTGAAGTAGTTGTGTCTGGACTCAGGAGGAGAACAGACCAAGATCTAATTGAAACTCATTTCTTGCAGCCCCACAGGAAGTAAGGTAACCATGGTCAATCTCCTCTCATCTCTGAACTTGTTCCTCATCTGTAAAATGGGAATCATCATCATAATATATCTGCTTCATAGAATTGTGCTGAGGGTTCAATAAATGAACTCAGATGAGGCAAAGCACATGACCCATAGAACAAATCCAATTAAAGTTCGCTATTATTAATAAAAGACAACCTTTTCTTGTGGCTTTAGTATTTCAGATGAAGATAGTTGGAAAACTGGGGACACTGGTTAAAATACAGACTTCTGGGATGAAATGGGTTTGTCTGGGGACATTCTGAGTTTGAGGTGAGGCCATCAAGTTTCAATATCTCACAAGCAGCTGGGCACACAGGACTGAAGCTCTAAGGAGAGGTCAGCATAGGGGATAAAGGCTGGCATGGAAATCATGATGAACAACTCTAGAAAGGGAATAGAAAGAAGGGGCAGAGAGCAAGGGGCTGCCTGGAGCAGCTGCCTTATTTTGAGAGTAGGAGAATGAAAAGAAAAGTTGACCTTGTGGCTGCTGTGGTTCCCAGGTTGCCTTAGACAGTTGGGGAGCATCTCATCAGCCTGGGTTAAGGAAAGTCTGCTGTATGGGCTAAAGCTTAAGTGGTACTCACAGGAGATGTGAAAAGTTCCTGTGGCAACTTCTTATTGAAAATCCTCACCCAGTTACTTTCCATTCCTGCTGAGACCTTCCCTGTGTCCCTCAGGTTATGATATAAATATTTTACAAAGTACAGAGGGTTAAGATATCTAACGCTTTAACTGAAAACTCATCTCTTTTTTTTTTCCCCCTGAAAGTTAAAGGATGTGTTTTTCCCTTGCAAAAATGTGAAACTCTAGATTGGACAAAGAATGGATATGTCATTGCAGTGTTTTATGCGATGCTTCCCAGGGTTTCAAAGGCCTTAAGGTACTAATACCCTTCCTTTCTCTGTGAGGCTTTTAAGTTTCATCATCCAAGCTTAAAATTGGGTAAGAATTGAGCACAGTGTCCCAAACATTGTAGGTATTCAATAAACACGTGTCCTCTTGAATTTTCCATATGATGACGGTTGCATTGTGGTCTCCAGACTCAGAGAGGTGAGTCATCTGAGATATTTTCAAACTAGACTAAACTCCAGTATCAGAGGTTACGGGAGAGAAGCAAGAAGAAACTTGATTAGAAGTAGTAGAGTAGAAAAGATATTCTAAAAGGCAACTACAAAACTCTTGGTGATGCAGTGAAATTGTAGGAGCCTCGGGTAGAAAAAATAGAGTCCAGACCTCGATATGTAAGAAGAGACCTATTTGCTAACTGCTCGGAAGGAGACGAACAGTGTCAAGCCAAATTTTGGCAAAAACCACCCGAGCTTCAGCTCTCTCTGTGGATCATAATCACCTTTCCATAAAGAATAAGAGAATGTAAAATGACCAAGGAATGAACGTCACCAGGCGACATGGATCCTGTGCCTCTTCCCCATCTCCACAGAGTTCTGAGTGAGTGCTGTCCTGTTCCTACTTTTTTATGATACCTGCGGCTTAGGAAAGTGAGCAGTTTTAAGGAAACATGGTTTCTGGTACCAAAGAGCATCCCACTGACTCAAAGTTGTGTCCTGGGCTTAGTCAGCCTTCACTTTTATCACAAGGGGGTGGGTAACATGTGAGGTTAAAAAAAAAAATTGGCCCCGTAAAGGGATCCGGAAAGAATGACATATTTGTCTGTTAAGTATAAATACGAACAGCCACGGAGATATGGTCCTGTGGTGCTAGGTTTTCACTCCAGCAACATTCATCTATTGCCAGGAAACGCTAGATTTAGTACCTGAGGGACTGGAGTTTCAAATACCTTATACTTTTTTTTTTAATACTCTGCCAAGAATTTAAATTGGTAAAAGCTGGGGACTGACAAAACTTGATCCCCAAGAGCTTTTCTGGCACTGGTTTATCAGAGAATATGGTGCCATTATTTTTATTATAATTATTATTTTTTTCTTTGGTGGGGCGAGAGCTCATTTATAACCCAATGACTTCTACTCCCAGATGTATTTTTCTTTTTTTAAAAAAAAATCCCAATACTTAAATAAACAGAGAGTTTGCCTTTTGTGGTGGCTTTAGAAGCTGTCATTGGATTTGCATGCACGGGGGTTGCAAGCCTTTTCATGTTTTTCGATCAGATCAGAAAGAGTTGAAAGGAGAAAGCTAATTTTAGTCTCTGTGTTGCCACCAGCTCTCCGCTGCACACGCCTTCTTCTTCCCACCAGGTTTCTACTGGGCCCTGACACTGAAATCACTTAACAGGGCTCTGCAAAGAGGCCCTGCTGGCCCCAAACCGGGATAGCCGGGGAAGGGCAGAAAAGGCCAGGAAGGAGTTAGAAAGGCTAGGTTTGAGTCCCAGAGCCGTCATGTTTTAGCAGTGCAACTTTGGACAACTCAGTCTCTCTTGGATTTTTC